AATAAATAAATAAACAAACAAGAAAGAACTGAAAAAAAAAAAAAAAAGAAATGGTGTTAGACATCAAAATCCCAGCATTTGGAATGTCTGTTGGTACTGGAATCACACAGTTCATAAATCTTTTCAGTGGTCTAATCAGTTCTTGATTTTTATATAAAATGTTTGAATAATGAAAATTTAGATAGGAAGGCATTTTGAGAACTAATGGGATGTGTTGACTGTTTGAAGAGTACTAAGACATTTGATCATGTTCTTACCACACTAAAAAGGTATGAGGGGATGCTGATGCTCAGTTTATTCACTCTACAATATATATGTAAGTCAGAATACCATGCTATAATAAGTATATAAAGTTTTTATTTTTCCATTTAAATTAATCAGATAAAATAAATCAAATTAAAAAACTTTTTTTTGGCATTATGTTTTAAAGTAAGTACTTGATTTTATAATTATATATTTTGTTTTACACTGAAAATGTTGATCATCATAACAAATACTGCTTCATCTCAATATATAAGCAAAGTTATTTCAAAATGACATTAACATTAATAACAAATGAAGTTTAAATTTTCTTTTGATTATTTTTGTAGTATAGGTTGATTTTAGTAAAAGAATGAGTCACCTTAATGTTAATTTCAATTACTTTTCCTTGAAATATGTCTTGCCTCTTTTGTTTTTATCATAGGTTGACCACTTTGGGTTTTTTGACACAAGAACTTTTAAACAGCGGTACCTAATATCTGATAAGCATTGGAAGTCAAATGGTGGATCAATACTTTTCTACACTGGTAATGAAGGGGACATTGTCTGGTTTTCCAATAACACGGTATGTACACATTAGTGAGATTCTTCTGTTGAAATGATATTTTTTTCTTTTAAATATTTATTTATTTATTTAATGTAGAGGAGTTCTCTAACTGCATGTACACCTGCAGGCCAGAAAAGTGCATTGGATCCCAGTATTGATGGTTGTGAGCCACCGTGTGGTTGCTGGAAATTGAACTCAGGACCTCTGGAAGAGCAGACAGTGCTCTTAACGGCTGAGCCATCTCTCCAGCCTTTGAAATGTTGTCTTTTATAGTGATAAATGGGAGAAAATGTTTAGAAGTATAGATGACCAACGAATTATTGTTTTAATTATAATGCTCTTCAAAAGTAGAAAGAGAGTACGCAAAATGGCTCAGTGGGGTAAAGGCTCATGACATGACTTTATCCCTGAGCCCTGCTTGATGGAAGGAGAAAAACCAGCTTCTGCACATTCGTCTTTGATGTCCTCAAGTGTGATGTGGCATCTGTCCTCTCCAAAGAAGTTCGTAAATGCAATAAAAAAATAAAGTAAAATCAGATCAATCATAATAGAAAGATGACAAAAGGCCAGGGGTGATCAGCTAGGAATTCAAGCCAGCCTCGGTTGCCATCTAATTCATTGCCAGACTGTCTCAACACAGACAGACAGACAGACAGACAGACAGACGGAACCACTTTTTTGGGGAAATTTTACTTATGATACCAGTGGGCGTAATTGTGTATAGTTATCTTGATGATGGCCTGTAGAAAAAGTGTAAGAGCAGGGATTTTCACATTTAATGTTGTATTTTTAAAGTGAAGAACTGTATTGTGTGCATAGTAAATAATCAATAAATAGTTATTGAACTAATAAGTAAGACTGAAACAAAACCAATGCAGACAAAGAAAATATAGAAAGTTTGATGGTCAAGTTGGAAGGACAGAGATAAAGTAGCTGTATTTTCATTTAGTCTTTTGTTACACTGGTTTATAATTTGTTAGAATTAAAATAGTATAATCTATCAGTTTGCTTCACTAACTATATTTCCTATCACCTTTTAACAATGCATTCATTAAAAAAAAAAAAACAATTTGGAAGGAACAGAGAAGTAAGAAAGTCTCCTTTGCAGTATGCCAGTGCTATGACTAGAAAATGTCAAATTTCTACTGAAAAGCTAGTCAGGAAACTACTGTCATCTCTGGTGCCAGGTCTGGCATGGCTCCGTACTCGGGAGATCTCAGTAAATATTTGCTGAACTGAACTGATTTGACAGGAAAGACATGAATCTAATGATACTGTTACTGCCGACTCACTTGTGATTATTTTCTTCAGATGGGCCAAGAACCGCCTGGGCATTGGGCTGCATACCTCTATGCAGCCCTCAGGGGGTGGGGTAGAAGACTGTAAATTTGAGTCTTTCCTGCCTCTATAATTACACCCAGTCTGCTAAGCCAAACAATCAAAGAAAAATAAATAAATAAATAAATAAATAAATAAATAAATAAATAAATAAATAATTTAAATGCTGAGTGGTGGTGGTACACACCTTTTAATCCCAGCACTCAGGAGGCAGAGGCAATTGAATTTGTAAGTTCCAAGACCAGCCTGATTCACAGATATCCAAGATGGCCAATGCTACACAGTGAAACCTTGTCTTAAAAAACCAAAAATAAAAAACAATAAAAATAAATAGGTAAATAAACAAATATGCTGAAAATGAAATAGCTCCTGAGAAAAGACATCATGCACCTGTTATTTTAGGTAAGTGTCCAGTTTCCTGGTGCTATTTTGTGTGAGATGTTCAGTCTTCAGACCCAGTGCTCCTCAGGCTCTGCAGCCATATCGTACAGTTGCTGGGTATCGGTATCCTCAGAGTGGTGGAAAGAAAGAGACATGTAGGAGAACAGTTGTATGGAAGAGATCCTAGTAGGGCCAGTCCTAGAAGCAGGGCAAGGCCTAGAAGCAGGGCAGGGCCTAGACCTTGCTAGTCCTTGGCATCTTCCTAGAAACTAAAGTATTTCAACTTCACATTCACTTCTGAACATTAAGTTTTTGAGAAGCAGTGACGCTCAAGCAAGATTGATGAGATGTTCATTCTGACTGCTAATTTCGTATTTCACTTGAGCTAGCTTTTAACTCCAGCCTCAGTGTCCTCTTTTATTCAGTGGGTATAGTAAGACTACCTAGCTCCCAGAGTTGTGACGACTGAATAATAAGATTGAAGAACTTGCTGGTGCAGATTGTTTATAGATGGCACAGCCCTCTTTTGAAAGATAAAATTACCCTTAAGATGCACGAAAGCAAACACTCCCTAATTGCATCATGCATCTGTTCAGTTCAGCTGCTTCTGTCAAAGCCTGAGGTCAGTCCCACAGAGGTCTGTTCCTACTCTTATGACACTTGCAGTCTGGTGGTGCAAGATTCCATGTGAGTTCCTGCTGCAGCAGGCAGAGGAGGTCTTGCCAGCACTCTGCTGTTGAGGGGAGATGGACAGCTCTGCTGGACAGGGCATGCAGAGGAGGGTGTGCTTGAGCTGGGTGTGGCTCAAGAAGTTGAGCTGGTGTGGCTCAGTTATACTGTTCCTGGCTGGACCTGGGATGTGCGGCATTAGTGAGTAGCTCCTCGAAAGAGAAGTGGCATCTTGAAAACCACAGGTGTCAGGCTAACATGTCCATTATCCCCGAAGGTGGCTCCTTTAATTCCTTACAGATTGGTCAAAATGACCAAAGTCTTTTTGAGGTTCCTATGCCTCATTAGGAAATAGTAACTTATTAAACACCAACAATATTCATCAGAAATGGCATGGCTGCTACTGTCAAATCCAGTGGTTCAACCTTCCTCATACTGCTACCCTTTAATACAGTTCCTCATGTTGTGGTGACCCCCAACCATAAAATTATTTTTGTTACTTCATAACTAATTTTTCAACTGCTATGAATCATAATGTAAATATTTGATATTTCCTATGATCTTTGGAGACCCTTGTGAAAGTGTTGTTTGATACTCTCAGGGGTCATGACCCAGAGGTTGAGAACCTCTGGTCTAATCAATTAATGCTGTCTGCCTTGGATGCTTTCCTAGGAAGGATGAGGAGGGCACCATCGAGTCAAAGGGAAAGGGGCAGCAAATGATTAGTAGGAGCCGTCAGTGTGGAGAAAGGAAGTCAAGTGGCCCTGATGACCACTGCATCACAGCCTGTGTTTCAGTCTTGGCTCTGCCACCTGGGTGAGCACTGAGCCTGGTGTCTCAGTGTCCTTGCCTGTATAACCACAGTGCTTGAATGATTCTTGTTTATTGTGCTAAATAAGTGAGTTATTTCATGTGTGGCTAGAATGGTACTGACACATTGTAAGTAGGAGTTAATAACAGATGCTGTTAATTTCCTAATGTGTAAGGTCAAGATCCCAAGGGTGTTTAATATGTTTATTTATCTTTTAATTCCTTTATGTGTCTGTGTGTGTATTTGAGGAGCAGCTTAGATATCTCTACCTCCTTCCTTAAGCACAGTGCAGTTTGAAGAGTGATATATAATATTGACTCAGGGTCATAGGATAAGGATAAGAAGAAACAAAGTGAATAATAGGTGAATAAATATCTTATTTAAGTTTCACTGTAGTACATTATGATACAGCTATTGTACCTCCCCTCCTCCATGGAACACACATAAATTATATAACTTTCAGAGAGCTCTTTTTGGTCTGGCTTAACATCTATTTCATATGGTTTACAAAAGTTCAATGTGATGCTTCATTTCCTAGTTTTACATGTGTATTTGTGAATTCTTCCTAGGGGTTCATGTGGGATGTGGCTGAGGAGCTGAAAGCTTTGCTGGTGTTTGCTGAGCATCGGTACTATGGGGAGTCCCTTCCCTTCGGTGAGGACTCATTCAAGGTAGGTACAGGTTTTTCTTTAAGATTAAACATTTTTGGTACCATATTTGATAGTTATTTGTTTAAGTTTAGAACATTTTATACCCATACACTGTGAGATTACTTTAACTTGAAGTGCCTGAAATGTTATCTTTTCTACACATATATAATTTGGACAAAATGAGTCTTTCTCTCTTTTTTCTTTTTTGTGCTGAGGATCAAACCCAAGGCTCCTTGTGTGCTGAACATTTCCACCAAGCTCTGCTCTCAGTCCTACCCCAAGATCTTTAAAGCCATGCTGTCTTTCTAATTACTTTATGACTGCTTTGCCTGCTTATGGCGTTGCACCACATGGGAGCCTGGGGCCTGAGAAGTTCAGAAGAGGACACTGCATCCCTGGAACTGCAGTTAGGGGTGGTTGTGAGCCATGGTGTGGTGCTGGGAGCCAAACCCTGGTGCTCTGCAAGAACCGCTGAGCCTCCTCTCAAGCTCCCTGCTGCTTGTTTATTTTTTGTTTTCTTTGCTTTGTATTGTTTGCAGTTCTGGGGGCCTGAGAAAGGCCTAACATGCTCAAGATAAGGAAGGGTTCTTCCATCAAGGTACAAGTACAGCCCCTGTTAGTTTAAGTTCAGTCATCCATGCTGGCTTCAGCCTTGCTCCATTGATGCACGCAGTGCAGGCAATTTTCATTATTTCAGCAGTGTCAGTAGACAGTCCTGATTCATAAATGAGGTACTAACTTACTGTTCCTGCCTCAGGAGTAACGAGTATGCAAATATGTGAGAAGGATTTTTTTCAGTAACGTAATTAGTATATAAGAATAAATGAGCTCTATGAGGTCATGTTATCCCTGGTGTTCCCATTCGCTTTTCCCTTCTTACAGGAGCCCCTGGCCTGGGTCTTTGTCAGCCTATATATTTAATGAACCAGAATACTATTTCCTCTACTGAATGACTTTATTTTACTCATGTCTTTCCAGCTATAGCAATTTCCCACATATCTTGTTACTAATATTTTCCTCAGGGAACTCAGTTAAAGTTAGCACTATTTTAACCAAGGACCTTATGTGCTGTTATGTTTTTCAAATTGCTTTAAAATATGAAAATAAATGTTACATGAAAATGTTTGTACAGACCTAATGCTTTCTATCTCATCCAATAGAGCAATACCATCCTGTTGTGAACTGTCACCTAAAATAATTTGAGAATAGTAATATTTCAGGCTGTTTTGAAAGGTTGGTTAGGAGCTTTTAAAATGTTATACTCAGTTTACTGAGTTATTATGTCATGATAAATGAGGTGAGTAAAAATAACTTTAAAATGTACATGTGCTATAAGTCAGTGGCAGAGTTGTTTATTGTCATTTGTTGGCTTGGATGGCCAATCTTGTTCTTTAGTATTTTACATGCACATGGGATTAATAAGTGAATTGGCTCCGAAACCATTGGGAAGCAGTCAAGTAGTTGCAAATCACATCTTAACTTTCTGTAGGTCGCCACAGTTAGTACTTTATTAGCAAAGTGGATACCTGGTTTTATGTTATTTTTTTCTCTTTCTGTGCTCACGAAGGTTGCCAACAGCACAAGGGATGTTGTACATACTATTTGAGAATTGGAAACAATTGCACATATAACATGGCACTATGTATAATATTTTTACTCAGAAACAAAAATGTCCTTCAAACCTCATATGATCACTGACATCCACCCATGAGATATAAACTAAGGGTTTAAGAAGCCTACTTGTACAGACTCTGTGGGTGCTCACATCATTGTTCTAAACCATCGCCATTTATTCTGGAGGATGCTGAGCTGTTGGGGGCAAGAGCCATCACCTTCCACAGGCAGTTTTGGTCTGATGAATGCCACTGTATGGTCCTTGGAAATACCTGCCTAGGATTTCATCCCTAGGGTGGTTCCTTTTGCAAATCTTCCTCAGATGTATTCTCTTGATTACAAGTACAGAGCTTTATGAATTAAAACTAACTATACATCATGCCTGTAGTTATTGAAATTTCTCAACAAAAATCAGAGCTGTGGCAGAGGAATCAAACTGGCTAGATGTTCAAGTAGGCTATAAACAAGATCTCTGTTTGTCCTTTATGGGCAGTATCTTAAATGTTAATATGTGCCAGGTCTTGCTTCCTGTATTGCATTTGAAGATAAACTTTAAAAGTAATAAAATTACATTTGACTAGAAAATATATCATGTTCTTTCACAAACTTAAAGTTACTCTCATGAATTGCTTTGATGAGGGATTTTAGCTCAATTGTCTAGAAATGTATTTCACGGAATGAAAATTGTTCTGAATCTATGCTGTGCCTCAGCTGCTATTATGTCCATGTTTATACCTGTTTTCTTTGTCTTTGTTCTTAAAATAAATAAATATATGCATATATAGGATTCCCAACACCTGAATTTTCTGACATCGGAGCAGGCTCTGGCTGATTTTGCAGAGTTAATCATACACTTGAAAAGAACAATTCCAGGAGCTGAAAGTCAACCTGTCATTGCCATTGGGGGCTCTTATGGTGGCATGCTTGCAGCCTGGTTCAGGATGAAATATCCTCATATAGTAGTCGGGTAAGCACACTGATTCTTGACACAGTTCTTAACAGTCAAGAGAAAATTAGAGCTTCGTTGTGGTGCTCCATGCTGCATTATTTGGACACTTCTCTCTCAATTAACAACAGTATTATGGGCTAGGAATGGCAGTGCACACCTTTAATCCCAGCACTTGGGAGGCAGAGACAGGTGAATCTTTGTGTGTTTGAGGCCAGTCTGGTCTACATAGTGAGTTCCAAGACAGCCAAGGCTGTGTAGAGAGAGCCTGTCTCAAACAGCAGCAGCAGCAACAAAAAGCCCAACAGTGTTGTGTTTCTAATCACCTGTGTTCCGTTTCAATTTCTGTACTGAAACTGGATTTAGTGGCTGAGAGATGTTTCAGTTGTAGGAGCACTTACTGCTGTTCAGAGGACATGAGCTTGGTTTCTAGCACACGTCAGGCAGCTCACAACTGCCTATAACTCCAGATCCAGGGGATCTGACCCCCTTCTCTAGCCTTCACAGGAACACACACACACACACACACACACACACACACACACACACACACACA